CCAGCGCCCCCGCCCCTTGCTCATGGCTCTGCAGCCTCCACCCGCCAGCCGCGCGCTTCAGCCCCGGCGCCCCGGCCCCTCCCACCTCGCCTAGGCCCTTCCGCCTCCTCTCCACACCCCACCCACACCCACCGCTGGGGCCACCGCTTGGAGGGAACAGCTGCCCTGGCTTCTTCCAACCCGGCTGTCACTTTTGTCTCCCTGCGCTAGTCTGGGTGGGGTGTCCGATCTCTGGGCAGTGCCCGAAAAGTGCCCTGCGCCTGAGGGTGCTGATGAACGCGGCTGATTGGCCGAGGTGGGCAGCCAGCCCAGGCCCAGTTGCGCCTCCTTTACTTCGTCTTGCCTTCAGTGCGGCACAGGCTCCCTTGTCCTCCGGCCGGAGGTCATCTCTAGTGATCACCCAGTCCCCGGGGTCCTCTCTGTAGTCCCCTGGACTCTTCATTAACGGTGCAGCAGAGAGGCTAGCAATCCGGGTCCCTGGCTACTGTTTTCAGTTCTCCCTGACAGCGTCATTGGTGCGGCTCTTGAAATTGACACTGAACAACTTACCTCCTCCTATCTTACAGTCTCTCTTGAAAGACCCCTCTGCCGAACTGGGGAGGGTTCGCTGACCTCCGTGGGACCACACTGGTACACAGAAGGAAGAGGGAGGAATAAAATATGTCTTCTTCCCCAACTCGACCCATTCCAGAGGCACCAGAACCCACATGACTGTCTTAATTTTTTGGTCTTCACCCTTTTGTCCATTCTATGTTCCTGTCCACTCCTTCTGGGGCCAGGGAGCTCCCTTCGCTGTCCCAGTTCTCTGCATTTCCACTGCCACAGCTGTGTGCAGTTCTGCTAGCTACCCCCCTTGCCAAACTTTCCTAAAACCCAAAAGAGGTGGCATGTGCAGGGCACTGACCCAGCCAATCAGACTGCCAGGGCTGGCCCCCCACACAGTTGACACATGTCATCGTTTTTACACACACTTCCACCTCCCAGGCCAAGCTAGGTCTTTTTCCAGCATAAAGTTGCCCCCCACTTGGCTACCCACATAACTCTGCCCCAGTACCAACCCAGTCACCACCACTCCTAAGTTTCTTGTACCTTCCAAAGAACCCAGTGCAAGCTAAACACCAGGGGCCTCCTGAGCTCCTGAAAGATCCGGGTTCTATCTACCTGTTGGACCTTAAGGATGTCTTTAAACCCTCTTTGGCTTCATCTGCAAAATATAGTGGTTGAACAGAACACCTAACTCTGATGTCCTGTCATTCTAAAAGCAACGTCTAGCACCTTTTTTAGATGCCGAATTAGAATTGACAGCAAGAAGTTGCACCAGGTTCCTCCCAGGAGAGAGGCCCAGGGTAAGGAGCTTCTCAAATGTGTTGCCCCAGCAGCCAGCACACACCTGCTGTAGCATTGGTGGGCTGTCTCTATGTCTGTTTCTTCTGAGAAGCCCCATGAGGGCAGGGAAAGGGTCTGATTCACCACTGTATTCCCAGCATCTTATACAACGTCTGGAACACAGTGTACATTTAATACTTGCTTCTAGAATACATGAATGAATGGGAGGAAAGGAACTCCAGATAAGTTAGTTCTGCATGTTATTAATCTAAACTGACATTCCCAAGGCAACACTTGGAGTACTTGCTCCCACAAGTATGTATGTGCTATAAGAACACCAGGGTACATTACTTTTCATCAAGACTGGCCTATGAAATCCAGGATGTGAGATCTCTGTGGCTATAGGAGCCCAGAGAAAGGAGGGAAAACCCACAAAAATTAGCTGGCCTCCACCAAGCTGGGGCTCAAATCAACATCCTCTATACAGTAACATGCTAAAGACACCATTTTCAAGCCCAGATTTGAATGGAGTGTACCAATACTAGCTGAGCAAATATGTACTGCGTGAAGATTCCTCACAGTTTTCACATGTATTTAACCAAACACTTCATTTCTTCCTTACAATTGCCTTATGAGGTAGATCCAAGGAAGGGATTTAGTCAAAGAGATTCAATATCGCATTTAAGGGATAAGGGATCAGCATTTGTGTCACGTTCCAAAGTCCGTGCTTCGTTCACAGTCTTGCTGGGCAAGGTGGAAGAGAGGACCAGGGAAACAGGGCTGCCCAAGCCACCCTGGCCAGCCCTGGGGACAGGTATACTCAGCTAGACTAGGGGGCAGCCATGGTTACTGGGCTCCGAAGAGTTAATCTGTGGGGTCCAAGGTGCCTTCTGGCCGTTCATTCTGACATAAATAAGAGTAGGCCGGGTAGGGACCACCTGAGCTCACCAGAGCCTGCACCTCCGAAACACGGGGGCTCTGACGTGCTCCTGCTGACGTTGGTTTCTGCAGTGACAGATGCCCCGCTGCCGGCGGGGGAGGGTGCCGATACTGCTACCGCCCAGATCTCTTAGGGTTACCACAACTCCCAAACCGCCCCGCCGGCCTCTCAAAGACTTGTGGGGACCGGAACCAGGTCGCCGAGCCCAGCACGTGGGGCCGCAGAACAGAGGGCGGGGACTGCGCACGGCCCGGACTACAAGTCCCACAATGCTCCAGACGGCGGCGGCGGAGAAGGGGGGGGTATCTCCAGGTGTCTACGACCTCGGCGCCTCCCGCCCGGAAGTGCCCGAGGGTCCGCTATGGAGCTGGCGGAGCTGGGCGGTGAGTCCCTGCGCCGTGACCGCGCCCACCCCGCCATCCCTGGCCCCAGCCAGCACCCACTTGCCCCGTCCCGGAATCGCCCGTGCCCTCCCACGGCTCGAGGGTCGAGAAGATGGGAGGGGCGCTGGAGGAGCTGGGGGTGGGGAAAGCGAAGCTTCGGGTTCTCGGGCAGGATCTGGGGTCCTGCAAGGGACTGGGTTTGGAGAGGCTTCCAGAGGAGGCGCGAAGTCGGGCCTCCGCGGGGTGGGGCTTGAGTGGACCGGGAGGGGCCGAGTTGGGTGGAGGGTGGCAACCCTCGGAGGCTCCAGATTGCCAAAGGGCGGAGTTTGACGTCTAGTGTGGGGAAGCCTTGGGAAGCAGAGACCCGGCCTGGTGGGTGGGGTTTGGGTAAAGGGTAACGGGGGTGGGGTGGGAGGTGCGGCATAGAGGCCCTTTTCCTTCCCCCGTGGAGAAACTTTAACGATGGAGTAGATAAGCTTTGGGGTAGATAAGCAGCTTTGGGGTGAAATAGACGAAGGAATAGACAAACTTTGAGGTGAAGTAGACAAGACTAGGTAAGCTTTGGGGTGAAGTTTGGTGGGGGTTGAATTTAGGGGACAGGTTGCTTAGAAGATCAGGGCTCATCTTGGGATAGGGTTTAGGTGAATTGGGGAGCTGGTCAAAGACCCAGAACTCAGGTTACAAAAAGTGAGGACTTGGAATTTGGTGATGGGAAGGGGCACATGAGGCAAGTTTGTGCAACGAGGAGTCAGAGCAGTCTGTGCCCCAGGGTGGGGCTTGGGCAAGGGGGCAGAGGAGTGAGGACTGTGGGAGAGTTGGGGTGGGGTGGGGTCCCACTGAAATTCGGGGACATGCTGGCCCGTGAGCCAGCCCCTCAACCCCTCATGGGTTCTTTGTGCCTCTCCAGCTCCGTAGTGTGGCGGGCAAGGCAGGTGCCATGGCCCTGATTGAAGGGGTGGGTGATGAGGTGACCGTCCTTTTCGCGGTGCTTGCCTGCCTTCTGGTGCTGGCTCTCGCCTGGGTCTCAACACACACCTCGGACGGTGCTGACCCACTCCCCCAGCCGTCCGGGACCCCAACACCAGCACAGCCCAGTGACGCCATGGCAGTCACCGACAGCATCCGAGGGGAGGCACCAGGAGCCGAGACCCCCAGCCTGAGACATAGAGGTCAGGCTGCACAGCCAGAGCCTGGCACAGGGCTCCCAGCAACACCGCCACCCCCAGACTCCCCCCAGGAACCCCTAGTTCTGCGGCTGAAATTCCTCAACGATTCAGAGCAGGTGGCCAGGGCCTGGCCCCATGACACCATTGGCTCCCTGAAAAGGTAAGCTGGGATGCACACAGGCGCGGAATGCTAACGAGTACGGGGGAGTGATCCCAGACCTGGAAGGGCCACTGGAGACCCCTGAGACGTCCCCCTCATTTTATAGATGAGGGGACTGAGATGCCCAGATCACACGATGTCTTGTTCCCCTGTAGCAGGAGGGGACCCCCTCGGAGGCCATGACCTGGGTGTGGAGGGCAGAGGTGAGGGGTGGGAGTGTTGTCCCGGGCACGGGACTAGGACTGCCTGAGGCTTGCTCTGTTACCCAGGTCCCTCTCTCCTCAGGACCCAGTTTCCCGGCCGGGAGCAGCAGGTACGGCTCATCTACCAAGGGCAGCTGCTGGGAGACGACACCCAGACCCTGGGCAGCCTTCACCTCCCTCCCAACTGCGTTCTCCACTGCCACGTGTCCACCCGGGTCGGGCCCCCGCATCCCCCTTGCCCGCCGGGGTCCGAGCCAGGCCCCTCCGGGTTGGAAATAGGCAGCCTGCTGCTGCCCCTGCTGCTGCTGCTGCTGCTGCTGCTCTGGTACTGCCAGATCCAGTACCGGCCCTTCTTCCCCCTGACCGCCACGCTGGGCCTGGCCGGCTTCACCCTGCTGCTCAGCCTCCTGGCCTTTGCCATGTACCGCCCGTAGTGCCTCCACGGGCTCTCGGCAGTGTGGCCGGCCCCTCCGGGCCGCGCTCCCCACGACACGGCGGGCGCTGCTGCCTGCCCAGGCCCACCTCTCCGGCCTGCCTCTTCCCTCTGCCCTGGAGCCCAGCCCTGCGCTGCAGGGCCCTCCAGGGGCAGGCGGAGGCCCCTCCCTGTGACCGCCGTGGCTCTGAGCCCCCTCCTGGGGCTGTGGGCCCTCCGCCCCCACTGACGGTCGGCTCCTCCGGCTCGGGCAGCTGCTGTCGCTGCCTTGGCCCTGGACAGAGCGGGGCCACACCCCTGGGCCCGGCTTAGTGTTCTGCCTGAGTACCCGGCCACCTCTAGTCCCCACATGCTCTTTGTGCTGATCTGGGGACCCAAGGACCATGGGGGGCTGGGAGAGGTGGAGGGGGTTCTCTGGAACACGTGCAGATTAAATAACTGTGAAGTTTTCACTCTTGATGTGTATCTGTGTGGGGGCGGCGGACGGGGAGCCCTTGTCCACCGGGAGAAAGCGAGTCAAGGATGCAGACCGGGCCCTCCTCCCAGGCTTGACGCGCACCGCCCTCACCTTTGCGCAGCGGCTTCGGCACCTGGCCCTTTGACTCCGCCCCTCCGGCCTCAGGTCCGCCCCGGCGCCTTGCGCGGAGCTTCCCGGAAGCTGAGGGCAGGGCTCGCGGCGCCCCGGCGCGCAGGGCCTGACGGGAGCCACGTCTTTGCTGGTCGAGGACTGGCCGGCGACTGGCGTCCGGGGGCTGCTGGGAAGATGGCGGACTCGGTGGCCCGCCGATGAGGAGGCCGCGGGGGGAGCCCGGCTCCCGGGCCCCGAGACCGACCGAGGGAGCGACCTGCGCGGGGCCTGGGGAGTCATGTAGGGGGGGGCGTCTGCGGGGCGGGCCGCGGGAGGGCGGAGGGAGTTGGCGATCGCGACCACGGTCTCCTGGTATCCCCGGGCTGGGTGGGTGTGGGGACCCCTGACACCACCGACTCCGCGCCATTGCAAACCTGCGCACTCGGGTTCCACGGGCTGTCTGCGAGGTGGGCGCTGCGTTCTCGTTTCACAGGCGAGGAGGCTTAGAGAGACGAAGCCACTTGACCAAGGTCACGCAGCTGGTAAGTGGGAGCGCCCAGCGTGGAACCCAGGACCGTCCGGCTGCGGAGCCCGCGTTCCACCCTCCACACCGCCGCCGCCTCCCGCGGGAGGGGGAGGTGGTAGAGAGGGCGTATCGCCGGGGCGAGCTGGGCACCAGACTGGGCGCGACCACTAACCAGATGCGTGACCTCAGGCTTAACTTAACCCCTTCACCTCTCTGAGTCTTGGTTGCTCCACCTGTGAAATCGAGGTAATGCCAGCCCTGCCTACCTCTTCATAGGTGTGTAAGAAGGATCAGAGGAGATAATGCATGTGGAATTGCTGTGTAATATCCCTACCCTGAGGACACGGAAGGATTATGGTTACTGTTTCAAAGGATGGAAGGAGGCAGAGGGGCGGGTGGGGAAGAGGAGATGAGCAGTCACAAAGAAAGGTGAACATGCTCTGACCCCAGGCCCTTCTGGATGGGGAGTGAGGTGAGGAGTAGACAGCAGGCTTTTCTCCCCTTTGGAGAAAACCTCACCCCCTTTTCTGGGCCGCCCCTCAGGGTCTCCATCACCCAACTCCATGCTTCGAGTCCTGCTCTCTGCCCAGGCCTCTGCTGCTCGGCTGTCTGGCCTGCTGCTGCTCCCGCCAGTACAAACCTGTTGTCTGGGGCCCAGCAAGTGGGGGGACCGGCCTTCTGGAGGAGGCCCCCATGCAGGCCCTGTGCAGGGGCTGCAGCGGCTTCTGGAACAGGCGAGGAGCCCTGGGGAGCTGCTGCGCTGGCTGGGCCAGAACCCTACCAAGGTGCGCGCCCACCACTACCCTGTGGCACTTCGGCGTCTGGGCCAGCTCTTGGGGTCTCGGCCACAACCCCCTCCTGTGGAGCAGACCACACTGCAGGACTTGAGTCAGCTCATCATCCGAAACTGCCCCTCCTTTGACATTCACACCATCCACGTGTGTCTGCACCTTGCAGTCTTACTTGGTGAGGAGGGTGTCTGGGGGTGTGGGTGTTAATGGAAGAATAGAGAAGGAGCAGCAGAGGACCCAAGATCACTGACAGAATTCACCTCGTAGGCCTTGCCAGGAATGGCACGTACCCTAGCACACTGACTGCTGTTCCCCCATATCCACAGCAGATGTCAGGAGTCAAGCATCATTTCTTCCAGCTTAGCTAGGGTGCTACCCCAGATTCCTTCCACTGCAATGCTCTAGGAGCCACTACAATCTGTCACCATTCACAAGAGATGAGTACTTATTTGCCGTCTTTGTACGAGGCCTTCTCCAGCAGGCCACTCTGACCCCGTAGTGCATGTTTGTCCGGTGTTTCCACGTACACTATAGCAAACCTTGCAGCCCAGGAAACAGATAAAGAGAGGTTGGGAATCCACTAACAACCCCGGGAACGGAGCAGAGCAGAACAGCTCCCGGTTACCAGGAACACCTCCTCTAACCCTCTCCCTCCCAGGCTTCCCCTCCGATGGGCCCCTGGTGTGCGCCCTGGAGCGAGAGCGAAGGTTCCGCCTCCCTCCGAAGCCACCTCCCCCTTTGCAGCCTGTCCTTCGTGGTGGGCAAAGGTTGGAAGCTGCTCTGAGCTGCCCCCGTTTCCTGCGGCATCCACAGCAGCACCTCGTCCGCAGCCTAGCAGGTGCCGGAGGGGGTTAAAGGCAGGTTGGGGGCAGGAGCTGAGGAGGAGGCAGGTGGTGGCGGCTGGGCTAAGGCGGACACTGGTGGTCTGACCTGAGCGTCCAGCATGATAGACTGTTCTTCACAGAGGCCAGGCCAGAGGAGCTGACTCCCCATGTGATGGTGCTCCTGGCCCAGCACCTGGCCCGGCACCGGCTGCGGGAGCCCCAGCTTCTGGAAGCCATTGCCCACTTCCTAGTGGTCCAGGAAGCCCAGCTCAACAGCAAGGTGGGATTGCCTCCCACCCTCCCGTACTTCTCAGCCACCCGGGCAGGCCCAGCCCCCTGTCCAGCTTGATTGGCTGCTGCATCCTGCAGCAAACAGCCCATCAAGGCTCTGTGCTCATGGGGTTCCATCTTTGCTGCGCCCTCCTTGGCTTGTCGACCTCCCCAGCACGTGCCTGGTTTTCTGCAGTTCTCCAAGCACTCTTAGCACTGTCCTAGCTGCAGTGATCCCACTCCTCTACGCCCTCAGTACCAGGCCCCACAGCAATGTCTCCTCCGCTTGGTGATTAATTGCATGGGGCTTGAGACACTGCTTTATGCTGTGCCGTGGATTTCTGGTTGTGTGTCAGGGAGAGGGATTGTTCTGCTTTTGCAGTGATGTTATAAGCTTGTAGGTCAAGCCTCCCTGAGGCTCAGCTTGTCAAGTGTTTTGGAGAACTGTTTCATGCCAGGTGATGGCTGCTCTCCCCCCACAGGTGGTACAGAAGTTGGTCCTGCCCTTTGGGCGGCTGAACTACTTGCCCCTGGAACAGCAGTTTATGCCCTGCCTTGAGAGGATCCTGGCTCGGGAAGCAGGGGTGGCCCCGCTGGCCACTGTCAACATCTTGATGTCACTGTGCCAGCTGCGGTGTCTACCTTTCCGAGCCCTGCACTTTGTCTTTTCCCCAGGTTTCATCAACCACATCAGTGGTGCGTGGACTGGAAGGCTGGCTGGGACCCTGAGGGCCGGTGGGCAGGGGAGTGTGGGGTTGGGGTCTGCAGTCCAGCAAGCTTTCCCGCTTGCCTGCAGGCACCCCTCATGCCCTGATTGTGCGGCGCTACCTCTCCCTGCTGGACACGGCTGTGGAACTGGAGCTCCCAGGATACCAGGGTCCCCGCCTTCCCCGAAGGCAGAAAGTGCCCATCTTCCCCCAGCCACTCATCACCGACCGTGCCCGCTGCAAGTACAGGTGGATGGGGCAGGCTGGGGAGGGGTGAGGATGGGCCTGAAAGCAGCAGAATAGGAAAGCCAGGGGGAACTGCAAACTGTCTAACTTGGTGCCCTCTCAGCAGTCTTAAAGAAACAGGCCTTAAGGCAGCAAAGACATTTGCCCAGGATCATGGACCTAGAGGGGTCAGAGCTAGGATGAGACTCCTGGGGCCCTCCTGCTATCAGCGTTCCTCTCCCCTCAGTCACAAGGATATAGTAGCAGAGGGGCTGCGCCAGCTGCTGGGGGAAGAAAAATACCGCCAGGACCTGACCGTGCCTCCAGGCTACTGCACAGGTGAGCTCCAAGTGGGTGGGCAGTGGGCTGGGGACATGGAACTTTGGCTAAAAAACAGTGGCTCTTTCTCTTCCCCCTTGCAGATTTCCTGCTGTGTGTCAGCAGCTCTGGTGCTGTGCTTCCCGTGAGGACCCAGGACCCCTTCCTGCCATACCCTCCCAGGTCCTGTCCCCAGGGCCAGGCTGCCTCTCAGCCCACTACCCGAGACCCTGCCCAAAGGTAAGTGAAGTGGGCGGGATAGCCTCCCCTACCTTCATGGACAGAGAACCTGAGCCACAGCCCTGTCTCCAGGGTGGTGCTGATGCTGCGGGAACGCTGGCATTTCTGCCGGGACGGCAGAGTGCTGCTGGGCTCCCGAGCCCTGCGGGAGCGACACCTGGGCCTGATGGGCTACCAGCTCCTGCCGGTGAGAGCCTGCCCCGCCCTGCCCCTCGTGAGAGTGTGTGCATCCCCCCGCCACAAGGCCCTGTGGGTAACCTGCTGCCCTCTTCCCCGCAGCTACCCTTCGAGGAACTGGAGTCACAGAGAGGCCTGCCCCAGCTCAAGAGCTACCTAAGGCAGAAGCTCCAAGCCTTGGGCCTCCGCTGGGGGCCTGAAGGGGGGTGAGGGAATGCACATGGGGTTCAGGATGGCCCCCCTATGGGGGGTGGACAATTTGCACTTTGGCTCCCTCTGTTTCGGTTTCTCATTAAAGTCCCTTTCCTTCCACATTGCACATCTCGTTTCTGGGATGGGGAGCGGGCTGGGTCCCCCCACCTCTTTTCCACTCATGACCCCACCCCACCCCCATACAGAGACAGAAGACCAGGAATAGGAGGGGGCTGAAGCACTTTACTGTGGGGGGGTAAGGGGACTTTAAATTATTCACTTAAATAAAAATGAGGAGGGAGGTGGGGCGAGCACCCCCAGTCCGTTCCCTCTGTCCATCAGTCCCTCGGCTGTCTGTCCAGGCAGCAGCTACACAGGCATAGGCATCTCATTATACTCGTCCACACCCTCACGCTCATCAAACACCGGCTCTGCCTCATTAGCGTCCAGCTGTGGGAGAGGGCCGAGTCAGGGGGCTGGAACCCGACCACGACCACGGAGGGGAGGCTGGGGGGGGCTGGGGGAGGCCTTACGCATTTCATCTCTCGCTCGGTGAAGATGCGGGTGAGCACCACCATGCGGAGCGGCACTGTGAGGATGAGGATGAAGGGGAAGGCCAGGGAAGCAGCTGTGGACATGACCGCCCAGAGCAGGGCCAGGCAGAGCAGCTGCAGGGCTGTGAACAGGTGCATACGGAGGGTCCGGACCTGGGGGCGGGCGGGGTGGAATGAGACAGGTGAGCCCAGGCTTCTCCCCAGCCGCGAGGACCCTGGTGTCCTGGGGGCCATCTGGTTCTGCCACACCCAGAGGACAGATGACCCCTTTCCCCCGCCACACGGGTGGGGCTAGAAGTGCCTTCTTGGGTACAGACAATGGTGGCTGGAGGGTGGCCCACGCAGCCCAGGTGGGGGGCAGAGGCATGGGGCCCTGCCGGGCGGGGGTCTCACCTTCTTGACATAGGTGACGTCTGGGTGGTGTTTGGGCGGCATGAGCAACAAGTGCAGCCGCTCATAGAACTGGATCCCATTAAGGGAGGTAACGCCCATGTACAGGAAAATCCCGAAGAGAACAGCCAGGGGTATCTGGCGGAGCAGGTCCCCGATGACCATGGAGAGGCCTGGGCAGGAGGGGGAGAAACCGTTGGCCCCAGGGCTCCCCATCCCCACTGGGCCTGAGGCCCCTCTGGGATGGGCGGGTGAGAGGTGGACATACCCACAAGCAGGGCAACCAGCAGCCCTGTCACCCGCTGCTCCTTGACCTCCTGGATCTTGGGCTTGTCCCCAGGCGCCACAGCCTTGCTCATGACGGTGAGCGCGTTGGCGTGAGTGACGGAGCGGACGGTGGCAGCAGCCAGCCACGGCAGGCCAAAGAGGGCACAGATGCCGCCCATGGCCACGATGAGCAGCAGGTCCAGGTGGAAGCCAGAGCCCTTCTGCAGCATGCGCTCTTTCTTGGAGATGATCAGCCTGAGTGGGACAGGCACTCAGTGAGGCCCGGGGACCAGCGTGGCAGACAACCAGGTCGCTCCAGAGCTCCCAGCCGGGAGTCTGTTTTGGGAACCCGGTGGTCCCCGCCCATTCCATCCGGACAACAGTTCCATCATGGACCTCATCTCTCTTGGAGCTGCCCTCCCGCCCTCCAGGACAGCTCCTGGCCTGAACTGGGCCCATCCCAGCAAATGTCAGCAGGATCTTCTGCCGTCTACGAAATAAACCCGGTGGCCAGCCTGGCATCCTGGGCTCCTTTCACCCAATAAATGCAGCTGGGTCCGCCAGCCTGGCCGGGGCTTTGGACCTTCTACCCACCAGGTGGTTCCTGTCTGCACAGCACCTCCATCGACTAGGACCACTCACGTGGTGATCTGCGTCTCCATGAAGATGAGGATGAAGACCAGGATGGCGGGCAACAGGCTGGCCACCATCATCCACACGGGGAAGGAGCTGTTCTCACCCAAGGGGTTGATGACCCAGCCCCGCTTTTCGGGGGCTGTCACTGAGAATCCACTGGGCACACTCAGCTTCTGCGGAGCAGAGGGTGGGGCTGAGTGTTGGTGAGCTTGGCAGGGCGAGCCCTGAGCTGCAAGGGCAGGGTGGGCGCTGAGGATATGCTGTGCAAACGGCCGTGTGTGCCCAGTTAGGCAGCTCGGGTTGGGGGTGGGAGAACATCCAGAGAGCCCAGTGAGCCGTGCCAGGCAGCACCTCCTCACTGCTGCGTGTGCTCCACCACCTTACCTGGGTGTAGGTGTCCTCGATACTATAATCCACAAGCACCATGATGAGGATCGCGATGGGGACCCCAAAGTCCCCAATCACCCGCCGTACCTGTGGGCAAGCGCCATGCTCAGAGGCCCCCTGCCCGGCTCCAGCCCTGACTCCAAGTCACCCCCTCCTGCCCCCAGCCCACACACCCGGCCAGGGAAGAACCGACTGTTCTTGAATTTGCGCAGAAAGAAGGCGATGAAGAAGGTGCCAGCCATGAGCACCAGTGACAGCAGGGCCGTGTTGGGCTGGCCCCGGGGCCTCCCCTGCCCAGACGGCCCAGCCGAGCTCCCATTCCCGGGCCCCAGCGTGGCTCCAGCCCCAGCCCACGTGGTGTTATTGCCGCTGTCTCTCCCGCCATCTGCCTCAGAGCTGTTGGAGACCGAGCAGCCGTGGAGGGGGTGTTCCTGGAAGATCTGGGGAGAGGACAAAGGACTCCATCACCTAAACTGGCAAGATTTCCGGGCTCAGCAATATGCTGAGTGGGACACGTGAGGCGGGGGTGGCTGGCCTGCCCTCAAGGAGCTTGTCTTGTTAAGACAATGACTCAAAGGACCAGATGTGAGAGCCGGCCAAGTGGCTCAGTTGGTTAAGAGCTCGCTCAAGAGTGCGAGCTCTGAGCAACAGCGGTTCGATTCCCAGCCCGAGCTGAGTTGCCGCTGAGCTGCCCAGAGGTGGCACATGGCTCAGCTAAAAAACAAACAAACAAACAAAAGGACCAGATGTGAGCAGAAGGCAACCAGGGACTGAGCGAGAGGTTGGTCTACTTCAGGAAGGCATGTGGGAACGTGGGTCCAGCCAGGACTGGAGGACCAGGGTGTGGAGTTTGGAGGACCGTGGGGACACGTCTGCTCCTGAGGCTGTCACAGACACGGGTCTGATGTGCTGTGACCGTGTTTGTCCCCTGGGGGCCTTTTCCTTTCTACACTTCTGGACTATCTGCCACTTTAACAAAAGTGTATTCCCTTTGTTATTAAAAATACGTGTTTTTCAAGACTGATCTGAACTCCAGGTATATGTTGGTGACCTGGCAGGGGTGGAGGAGGCAGGAGGGAAGAACCAGGCTGTGCTCTGTGGGCTCCACGGACTGCGGCTGGGGGGAATCTCAGGGCCAGTCTGGTCTCACACCCAGGAGACAGAACAAGAGAGGGGCAAGACCGCTCCTGGCTCCCTCCAGTCCCAAAGCCTCGCCAGGCCTGCCCACCTTAATCAGCTTGTAGAAGGTCTCGTAGATGAAGATGAGGGAGATGAGGAAGGCGAAGATCTCCTGGGTGAAACGGGAGACGAAGCGCACCAGGAAGCTCCCCTCCAGGGCCACCATGAGCAGGGCCAGAAGCACCAGCCAGAAGCCAATCCACACGCGGCCCACCAGGTACTCCAGGTTGTTGCTGCTGCAGAACTGGGGGGCGGGGATGGGACATGTCCCGTCAGGTCCAGAAGCTGAGTGGCGAACGGGGTGGGCGTGTTCAGGGAAAAGCAGCCTCAAACAGCCTGCGGACCCTCACCAAGAAGAAGGCCTCCTCAAAAACGAGCAGGGGCCCCGAGAAGCCGATCACCAGCAGCGGCTGGGCGCCCAGCAGGCAGAAGATCACGCCTTGGAGTGCCGTGGACATGATCAGCTCTGACACCCCAATCAGGTCCTGCGTCTTCTCTCCTGGGGTGGCAGGAACCAGTTTAGAAGCTGGCGCAGTTGGGGCCCCGTGAGCTCCCCGCCCCCACCCGAAGCCTGCCCTTACCCAGCAGCCCCCCGAAGGTGATGGCAGGAGACAGGGCTGCAAAGTAGATGAAGATGACGGCAGCCAGGCACTGGGGGTCGAGCGCGTCCCGGAAGTCACTCAGGTAGTGGGGATAGCGGCGCTTCACGTCTCGGATCAGCCCCCCGAAGGGCCGGCCTGTCCGCCGAAGGGGATCATCTTCCACTGTGCCTACTGCCTCTACCATCTGCAGGAGCGCTGCAACCCAGGCCTCCATCAGGGCGCTTGCCACGGCCCCGCCCACCCCGCTCCCCTCCACAAACACACAGGCCTCCCCAGCCCCTGCTGCAGGCGGCTGGGCCTGCACTGGCCCGTACCCTTATCTTGGGCCGACTTGGGCTCCAGCCTGGCCCCAGTGGGCAACAGCCGGCCTTGCTCCTCCCGCTTCTTGAGCATCTGGCGCTGGAAGTGAGCAACGGACCGCAGCAGCTCCTCGCCCTGCACTTCCGAGGGCGGCAGCACCACGCTGCAGTCCAGGAAGGCGTTGATGGCCGTCAGCAGGTCTTCCCGCTCGTCTGCCAGGTAGGCCGCCTCGTGGAATTGCTGCCAGGGCGGGTGAGAGTGAGGGCCCAGGACAAGGGCCAGGGGCCTGGAGCAGAGCTGGGAGAGGGGTGTGGGCTTCCCCAGTGGGCTCTGGGGCAGAGCTGACCTTGTCGGACATGAGGGTGGAGATGGAGCGGCCAATCTCGTGGTAGTCCATGTTGGCGCTGCTCGGGCCCAGCAGCAGGAAGAGGAAACGCACGGGCACGGGCACCTCCAGCACCGCGTCCAGCTCCACTGCCTCCCGCAGCCGCACGAAGGCCATGGTGGGGCGGGAGAGGAACTCCACGCAGCCTGGGGGAGTGGGGCCGTCATGGGCAAGGGCAGGGCACAGGCCACCTCCTAGCCCCCAGCCCAGGGGCAGTACCAAGGCAGGCCGGCCGCCAGGATGCCCACCCCCAAGACTCGCCCCACGTACCCACAAGGACCACCGTTGCCTCGGCGTTCTCAGGGATCTTCTCCAGCAGCTTCAGCTCGTGCTTGGACTTGGAGCGAGTGATGCCAGCCGGTGGTGCTGACGGCGGCAGCTCACGCTGCGGAAGCAGGAGAACGGAGCTCAGGCTGGCCTGCTCACAGTCCTGCAGCCGGCCGTGGGGGCCGGGACCAACCCAGGCAGGGCCACCTTCTCTCCTCACCTCTCTCTCCACCTCCAGCCGGGCCTCGGGAATAGCTCCGATGAGAGGCTCGGTGACATGGGGGTCACTCTCGGTCCCCTGGCCATGGTGATGCCCCAGCAGGGAGCCCAGGGAGCCGGCCGAGATGTTTCGAGGGAAGGAGAATTCCTTCTCATCACTTGGGTGGCTGGTGGGGCAGACGGCGGTGAGAATAAGGAGGGTAACAGCCCAGGCTGGGGGCAGGTGAATAGTGGGCAGTGGGCGGGGCCTCACCTGTGCTTCAGCAACAGGGCCCGCAGCACGTTGGCTCTGTCCTCGGCCTTGATCTGGTCCGAGATAACCATCTGTTCCACCACCTGGTGGGCCACTCCGGGCAGGGTCTGCTGGTCCAGGTCCAAGAGCACAGCCCCTGGAAGAAGGACAGCATAGGAGGGCCCTCATCCCCAGCCAAGAAAGTGCAGGGTGGCGGTGGGGGGATGAGGGGACAGTCAGGTCAGCATGGTTCAGGGGGCAGTGAACTGGGCTTGAGACCCAAGTCCCGTTTCCACTCTGACCTGTTCCTTCCTATCCCGTCTCCCCTTGGGGAGAGGCTCAGCAGAGACCTCAGGAACCCAGCCATCCGAGAGGCTGCCTGAGCTGGGTCCTGCCCAGATGCCACTTCCAGGGCACACGCAGCCTCCAGGCTGCCCCAGGCTGCCCACTGAGCTGGACCGCTCTGTGCTGTCAGAAAGTTCCTCCTCTCAGTGAGTTGCACGCCGCCTCCAGACATCCCTTCTAGGGCCCGAGATCTGCCCTCGGGAGCACGACACAGCCGGTCTGGGGCCTTGTCCACATGGCGGCCTTGAACCATCTGAAGACGTCCCCCTGCAGCCGGGCTCCTCAGCTTCCCCACGTCCAGCTGCTGCTCACAAGATACTTTCTAGACCTCTCCCCACAGGTCACTGCTCTGAGCTGCCATTTCATATAGAAGTGAAAGTCCTTTCAAAAGTCACCAGGTCACTCTTCTGTCAAGGTCAACTTTCAGAACACAGAACTGAAGAACAAACAGAAGCAAAGGCCTCTGAGCAGTCAAACCATCGATGGCAAAGCCTGGAGAGAAAACGCCTGCACCGGCCACCTCGCCCAAAGCACTCAAGCCTCACTCAGAGCCTATTGACTCCTAGTTTGGAAACAGTTCTGACAGCAGGTTTCTCAGCCTTCAGCAG